ATTTGTACAAGGAAAGAATATAAAGGCACGAAGAATTTCAAGCACATATTCCTATGTCTTGTAAGACAAATGCTGCTATGTGTTCTTCAACTAAGTATCTGCATGTCTAATATCTCAGTCCTAAGCAGGTTGCTTGGTACTGTAACATAATATGTAACACAATAGGTGAATGTTAAATAAACAAGTTGCTAATCTTTTCCAGTGAGTGTAAATTCCAGCAATACAAATCAGCCACTTATTAGCCAAGATGGCTTGCAATTTTCTCTTACCAGTTCTTTCACTTGCTCTGCCAAATTAATCTTCAGTGGTATATTTAAATGTGTCTTGAAAATGTCAGTTGACACCCACTCACACCAGTGAGCTGCTTGATTATTATCCGGAGTCAGATTTTGGAATGTGAGTTGAAGTATGTGAAGAAGAAGATGGCAAATTCAACAGATGAGACAAATGGTCCCATGTATCCCAAACTAGAATATGGATAAAAGTCAAAGGTACAATTCATCTCATATCCCCAAAAGGCTTTTCATTGAACCCATATGTGACTTTGGAAGGGTTCTGGGAACAGTTTGTAGCTCACATATTCAAGTGGAAAAGAACTCAGGATTTAAACTTGATCATGATTTATTAATTGTATGGACTAACTTCCATCATCTTAAAACTTAACTGTAGAAACAGGGGGAAAGTATACCCGCCAGAAAATAAAAAGAACAGAAGCCACAAGCTGCTGTGACTCCCTGTCAGCCTGTTTCATTGCTTGTTTCTTCATGTACCTGTTGTTATTTTGCATCATTTTCCAAAGTTCAGTAGCTGGCAAATAGGAGCAAGGTGTTGATGTTGAGAGAGAGAAGAGAGAGGGAGACAGAGAGACACAGAGACTCAGAGAGGTAGGGGAGGAAGGGAGAAAAGAAGGAAGGGTATAAGGCAAGGAGGGAAGGAGAGAAAGAAGGAGGACCTCTTTGGAAAAATTGAAATAATCCTGGTTGTATTGGTTATTAGGGTGTGATACCAATGGAATTTGAGACCTCAGATGGTACCATTTATGAATAATTTAAGTCTGGGTAGGTGGCTTATTGGCAGAGCAAGTTCACAGCATGCACAAGGCCCTGGGTTCAATTCCCAGCACCTAAATAAAAGCAAATACACACATCTCATTGGAAATACTCTCAAGTAAAACACAAAAGGAACATACCTTTTTCTTTAAGCTATATTTCCAAATATAACAACGCTTATAGAAAAATTGCAGGAATGGACAAAAAAGCTTCCATATTTTCTTACCCCAGAGATCCTGAATCAGATTCTACCAAATGTTCCCCTCAGGATTTAAAGCAAAAGGATTATAATGTCTCCTTAAATTCCCTCAGTCTTTTCTTTGCCCTTTAAAGACTTTGCCTTTGTGAACATTCCAGGGCAGCCATTTTGCTCAAGGTCTTCGGTGTCTTTAGGTATGCACAATGCCCTTCCTTCAGTTATTTTTTTCTCCTTTCCTCTTTTTTCCTCCTCCTCTCTTTCCTTCCCTCCTCTTCCATTCCTCTCCTTTCCTCCTCCTCCCTCCACTTCTTTTCCTTCCTTTCCTTCTTTCTTTTCCCTCTCCTCTCCCTTTCTCCCTCCCTCTTTCCTTTCCTTCATTCCTTTCTGCTATGGTAGAACTGGGCTTTAACACAGAACTTCATACTCACCTCCAAGGCACGGTACTACCTGAGCCGTACCCTCAGCCCTACAATGCTTTCCTTTGAGACCATATTGCAGAATTCCTCCTTGGATAGGAACATTGTGATAGTTAGGGGTCCTAGGAGTCATGCAGTACCAATTTCTCCCATTAGTGATGGCACTGATTTTGATTAAGTGATTAAGATGGTATCTGCCAAGTTTTCTCTGCCCTTTCCCATGCTCACTTTCTTTTTCCCCTTTGCAATGAATAATTGAATTTTTTGGAAACACCTTTAGGACTTAGTATTTACTTCTTATTTATTTATTTGTGAAAATACTGTACAGAGGGTTTACAATTACTTGGGCAAGGTAATGAGTATATTTCTTATAAAGCATTGTTGCCTCCTCCTTTGTTTCCCCTTCCCATCCCTTCCCATCTCCCCCATCCCCCACACCCTGCTTCCCCCTTCCCAGCCCTCCCTCACCCCCTGGCCAAAGTTGTAAAGTTCGTTTTTTGACATAACATCTTGTACATCTCATTGTTGCAATGGGTCCACCTGTATCCCTATTTTCCCTTCCCCTCCACAAATTATACCAACATCAAATACAGTGAAAACAGGGGTTATACTGTGGGGGAGGGACATACAGAGCAACAAAAAATCACCTTATAAATATGTTAGAAACAATCGCAAGAAAGAAAAAACATTTGAGTTCTTATCTTGGGGCTCATTTCACCTCACATCAACTTATCTGACCATTTCGGCTTGTCTCAGACATATACTAGTAATTGCAAATAAGGGAAACCATAGGGCCTATGTTTCTTTGTGCCTGGCTTACTTCACTTAATATATTTTTTCCAAGTCTTTCCATTTCCTAACAAATGGGGCAATGTCATTCTTTCTAATGGAGGTATAGAATTGCATTGTGTATATATACCACACTTTCTTGATCCATTCATCTACTGAGGGGCATCTGGGTTGGTTCCCTGTCTTAGCTATGGTAAATAATGCTGCAGTAAACATAACTGTGCTGGTAGCTTTTGTATGGTCTTGTTTGTGATCATTTGGGTAAATGCCCAAAAGTGGGATTGCTGGGTCATAGGGGAGCTCTATGTGAAGTCTTTTGAGGAACCTAGCAAGATCAATAGAAAGCTCATGGATTGGGAAATCTTCACTAGCCATACAACGGACAAGGGTCTCATATCTAAAATATACCTGGAACTCAAAAATTAAATCTCCCAACAACAAATTCTCAAAGAAACAACTGCCCAATAAATAAGTGGGCTAAAGACTTAAAGAGAAACTTCTCTGAAGAGGAAAGAAGGATGGCCAATAGACACTTGAAGAAATGCTCAACCTCTCTAGCCATAAAAGAAATGCAAATCAAAACAACATTGAGATACCAAGAGATATCAAGAACTCTGATAACAACAGATGCTGAAGGGGATGTGGACAGAAGGGAACCTTACTGCATTATTGGTGGGAGTGTAAACTTGTTCAACCACTTTGGAAAGTAGTATCTTAGTTCTTATTGCATTATTATAGTTCTCATTTTAAATGATCATATGAAGACTTCAAATTCACAACTGTTAATGCAAGTATTCCTACTTTATTATTTCATTGGTGTCCTCCTGTGAAGGGGAACCTTCTATTCTCTCCATGTATTTGTTAGATGGAAAAATACATTGTTTTCAATTAAAATATAACTATTTACAAAGATCTTAAATGTTTTCTTCCATGAGCTTTTATGATTGCAACTATCCAAGTACATGGACCAAGTAAATGGACCATATTTCTACCCATCTAGAAAATTCCCTTGTGCAATGGAACCTATCTATTAGCAAATAACATTAAAACCTTCTCTTCCCATCAGCTCTCCTCTTAATGTTGATCACTACATTTATAGCTGCTGCTAAAACATTCTCTTCTCCATTTCAATCTTCATTTTCTCAAGTCTTCTTTCCCTGAAGATGAACATGCTTCATTTCCCTCTCCATCTTTGGGTTGTATAGACCATAATGGCCCATGTTGACCTCATCACTCTCTCTCTTTTGCTCCCACAGAGGGGATTCTTCACAATAAAGCAGAAGCTGGGAGTTTTCCAGCCAATAAGCATCTTTCTCTTTAGAAGGACAAAAGGAGAAGGACCACCATTATTTTCTGTTGGCAGCAACACACTTTTCTTCTTATCAGGGAACACAGTGTTCATTAGTGGCATAATTTAAGAACCACTGCCTGACATGAACTTTTTAAAAATGATTTATTTCAAGGAACTTTAGATCTATGGATATAAACCAAGTCTACCCAACAAAAACAAGCAGAGGTCATTTATTCAGAGCTTGCTACAATAAGGATCTAACACCACTTATGTTTAGCGGGGACTCAAAATGAAGCAGAGGAATGGGAAAACTTTGTTACCGTGCCTTGATTGGCTGTTGGTAAGAGGAAAATGGAAGCAGGTTAACCAGATATAGGGCATCTTATGGTATTGGTTAGAGGAACAAGTTGGACTTTCTTTTGTTGGGTCAATTGTTACAAAGATTGCTATTTGGCTTTCTACCTTGATTTCTACAGAGATTGTGAGCCACAGTGTTCACATATGGCCTGACCAATTGTCTATCTGTGTGTTCAATTCCTTTGAGTGACTGATGTGAGAACTGTGGACTCCAGAAGGTTCCCATCGAAACACTCCCCAACCATAGCATATGTGTCAATCCATTCTCTCTCTTCCCACTCAACTTTTCTTCTTTGAGTCCTAGCCTGTGGTTTCAAATCAACTTTCCAGTCCCCAATACAGACTTAAAAACCTGTCTAGACAGATCTGAGTGCTTGAGCAGGACTTTGTGAGCATGTTAATGTGCCAATTTGACATGAGAGAAAATGGAAGATTTACAGACACTTGCATCTGGAGCTTTCTAGAAGATCTTGTTATTAACCATGATATCAGTGGGCATTATATCAGTGTCTCCTGAAGATGTTCTTTTGAATCCTATAAGTAGAAACTTGAACATGTAGAAAAGGGGGACTGAGACAGAGAGCAGGTGATTGTCCCAAGTTTCTATAGGAGCTCCAGCCATTTGGTGATCCATTCGTAATATATAGGAAAGAAAGATGGTGAATTTTTCCAGTGGCAATAATGGGTAACACGAAGCAGAATGTCCTCTATCAAAGGAGAATCACGTATCAAAGATTTCACAACATCTAACAGGAGTGGAGTTAATGATTAAAGATCTAAGGGTTCCTTTCCAGTCATGTCACTTTATCTTCTGTTTATAAAGAGAAAAGTACGCCCACCAAAATGGTTTAATGTTTAAACGATTTTATGTTTTCTTTCTTTTTTTTAAGCAGAGGAAATCCACTTTGGTGGTGCCAGTGTGAGCCATCCATAATGGTTTCTCCTGCGCTTATTTTGTTCTCCAGTCTTCTCTTCCATGTTGCTATTGCAGGACGAAGTAAGTGCTTTTGCCTTTGAAAAAATAGTTAATTTATATAACTCTCAAGTCTATGTCAGGGATTAATAATGCTGGCTTTAAATTCAGAGTGGGTGCTGGAGAGACTGCAATGAGACATAGTCTCCGATATCGCTATGCTTAAAGCTCTACCAAAAGATATTAAGACCATGTAGGCCTTGATGTACTGATATATAATATATGGATAATAATAATACCTATTTCAAATGGTCCTTGAGATTAGATGAGGTATCACATATGATATTATTATTATCAATAAATATATCTCTCTCTTCCTCCCTCTTTTCTTCCTTTTACTCTTTCCTTCCTTTCTTTCTCTCTCTTTCTCTTTCTTTCCTTCTTCCTTCCACATCCCTTCTTCCTTCATCCCTCTTCCTTCATCCTTTCCTTCCCTTCCTTCCTTCATTCTTTCCCTTCCCTTTCCTTCCTTCCTTCCATCCATCCTTCCTTCCTTCCTTCCTTCCTTCCTTCCTTCCTTTCTTCTTGCCAGCCTGCCTGCCTGCTTGCTTGCTTGGTCTCACTGTATATCTTAGGTTGGCTTCAAACTAACTATCTTCCTACCTCAGCCTTCCAAATGCTAGGATTATAGGCATGCTTCACCCTAGGTTAGCTTTCTTAACCATATACTTTGTGCTCAATTTCAGCCTGTCCCCAGCCAGAAGTGTTGCCATTTGCTGATGTCGTTCCATTCAAAACTTATTACCTCCCAGGAGAGCAGATCCAATACTCCTGTAAGCCAGGCTATGTGTCTCGGGGAGGGATGAGACGGTTTACTTGTCCTCTCTCAGGAATGTGGCCAATCAACACTCTGAAATGCACACGTAAGTCAGCAGCTTCTCTCCTATTCTTTCCCTTCATTTGGGTCTTAAACACTCTTTTGGGTGGGGGAGGGGAGGGGGAAGGGAGGATAATCTAATTTAATCATGCTCAGGATGCAGAGGGCCAACAGGGACTGTGGAGGCTGTTGAAAAACAAAAGAGCCTGGAAATTTCTCCGGGAGAGAAGAGAGTAAGTGCAATAGTTGCTGTGTAGGAAAAAAGAAAAGGTTGTGGCCTGGAACTCAAGAAGCTTAAAAAAGAGACCTGAACTAGTTAAAGGGGAGAGAAACATTATAGATGTTAATAGACAAGTGAGATATTCTGAAATGTAAAGTGATGCCATAAAACTTAGACAAAACTTGGGGATTGATGACATCTTTGGGCTTTGTCACAGAGTGAAAGCAGATTTGTCACTGAAGCAAATCTAATTTTCATCTAAATCACATATTTGTGCACAAAGTTATATGAAAACCTAAATGTCAGATACTAAATTCAACTATAAATGATATATTTCACTCTTGTTTTATTATAAGTGGTTGCCTTTGTTTATTTCTCAGAACATGGTTCCATAAAAGCTTTATTTATTTGTTTGTTTGTTTGTTTATTGTTACTGTAAAGGTGATTTATAGAAGGGTTACAGTCATGTAAGTCAAGTAATGAGTATATTTCATTTTGAACAGTGTCACCTGTCACCAATTCCATCATTTTCTCCAAGTTTTTTCCTTCTTGACCTATTCCCCCACAAGTTGTAGAGTTCATTTTCTTGGGTTTTTGTTGTTGTTAGTTGTGGGGCTTGAACTCAGGGCCTGGGCGCTGTCCCTGAGCCTCTTTGTGCTCAAGACTAGCACTCTACCACTTGAGTCACAGCACCACTTCCGGTTTTTGAATGGTTAATTGGAGATGAGTCTCACGGCGATTTTTCTTCCTCAGTATGGCTTCACACCATGATCCTCAGATCTCAGCCTTTTGAGTAGCTAGGATTACAGGTGTAAGCCACCAGCAGCTGGCTAGTTCATTTTCAACATAGTGTCTAGTGAACATCACAGCTACATTTGTTCACCTTTGGTCCCACCATTTCTGTGCTCCCCCATAACCTCCCCCAAAGAGATAAACATGCATGTAAGACAAATGATACAGAAATCAAAAACAGTAACAAAGGAGAAAACAGAAAAACAAATAACAAAAACCAAAAGCAAAATAACACCAACAAAAAATCCTCTTGTTTCCATATCTTGGAGTTCATGCTGATAAGCCCTGTTTTTTATAAGCAAATATTAAGTAATCAAACAGATTAAAATTTGACAATTATATGTAGAAGTCAAGCAGTAAAGATAGCTATGTGAATCTAACTTCTAAATATTTGTATAACACCTTTATCAAAATTACATATGTTGATGCAAGTATGTTTGTGTGTGTATGTTTGTGTGTGTGTGTGTTTGTGTGCATGTGTGTGTTTGTGTACGTGTGTGTGTTTGTGTGCATGTGTGTGTTTGTGTGCGTGTGTGTGTTTGTGTGCGTGTGTGTGTTTGTGTGCATGTGTGTGTTTGTGTGCATGTGTGTGTTTGTGTGCATGTGTGCCTGGTACTGAAGCTTGAACTCTGGACCTTGCATTTTCATTAGGCTTTTTCATTCATGGCTGGCACTCTACAATTAGAACCATACCTTCGTTCCAGCATTTTTCTGGTTAAATGAAGCAATAGTCTCCCAGATTTGTCTGTCCAGGATGACTTTGAACTGGGATCCTCAGATCTCAATCTCCTGATTAGCTAGCTTATTGCTGCCAGGGATTGAATCAAATACCCTGCACCTGCTAAGCATGTGTTCCGCCCCTGACTGAGCTATGCTCCTGCCCATCAACATAATTTTAATGAAAACTCTGTATATGCTCACTAGGAAAAATTTAGCTTTATATGAGCAATAACTCTGGAACATCTCCAAGTAATTTTCAACTGCATGTTTTTGCAGTAATGCAAAATGTATGTGAAATTCAGTGTCTTTCTGTTTTCATCAGCATATCACTGACACTGATTATGTTCTTTATAATTCATATTTTATTGGCTGCATAATAGTTAAGTTGTTGATTTACTTTGACTAATTAAAACAATCCATTGTTGGTGAACATTTAGACTGTCCAACTTCTGTTCCTAGCAATAACAGTGTGATGAATACCTTGAAGCATCCATCATTTGTGTGGCTTTGAGTTTCTTTCTTGGAATAATTACTTAGTAGTTATTGGACCAAAGGATAGCAATGAATTTGCATATGTTATGTACATGGAATAATCTGCCAATAGATATTTACCTTTCTCTTCTTAAATCACAGCCAGAGTATGTCCTTTTGCTGGAATCCTAGAAAATGGATCTGTACGCTATACAACTTTTGAATATCCCAACACGATCACTTTTACTTGTAACCCAGGGTAAGGATTGTCATGAGAAGAAGCAGCTGACAGACTGAATACATTTCAGTATTTTAAGATAATTCTCAAGATTGGTCCCTATTTTATTTCTAGCTTTCATGTTGGGCAGACTTTAGCCTTGCTTTGAATACATTTTCTTGGGGGTATGTAGGATAGGGAAAGAAGTGGAAAAATTTAAATCTAAAAATGCAATGTGAAATTATCACTCTAATCTCTCTGCTCCTCATTAATTATCTGAGGAGGCACACTGAAATGGAGGAGGCACACTGACTTGGACAAAAACTCTGTACAATCTAGGGGCCGGATCTGAGACAGGATTAGAATACTTTAGAACTAAGGCTTGGGTTTCAGTTATGAGGATAACTAGATTGACCAACTTGGTAGCCATTAGAAATGAATTCTGTAGAGAACATTGGGAGTGTGTTGACATAGACTTAAATTCTCTTAACCCTCAACACAGCACAACATTTCCAGGAAGGAAGTGCTCATGGCCGGCCCCTGAATAGAAAGACACTACTGAGATATTGTAAATAGCATATTGGTTGTCCATTGGGCCACCATTTAACTGAAGATCCTTGTTTGTGAATGAAGATTTGAGTCAAAAACAAGAGCAAAAAAGAGGAAGGGAGAAGAGAGAGGGAGAGAAAGACAGAGAAAGAGAGAGACAGAGAGAGGTTGTCAAAAACATCAGTTTAGGGGCTGGGAAGGTGGCTCAGTGGTAGAGCACTTGCCTTGCATGCATGAGGCCCTGGGTTCGATCCCTTAGCACCACATAAACAGAAAAAGCCAGAAGTGGCGCTGTGGCTCAAGTGGTAGAGCGCTAGCCTTGAGTTGAAGAGCTGAGGGACAGCGCCCAGGCCCAGAATTCAGGCCCTCGCCAGATCAAAAACAAAAACAAAACAGTTTGCTCATGAAGAGGTTATATGGGAAAATCTCTAAGCTCAAGAGTTCAAGGTCAGTCTGATAATATAGTGACATCCCCTCTCTCTCAAAAAAATAAAAATAAGAGAGTAGTAGATGTTGGGGGTGTAGCTGTGGTGGTGGTAGACTTTATGCTCAGCACACAGAAGCCCCTAGGTTCTATTCCCCCAATATATTTGAGATGCAAATGATAGATTATTTTACTCTTGATAGATTAAGCTTTCCTTTTGCAGGTTTTACCTGAATGGCACGAATTCTGCTAAATGCACGGAGGAAGGGAAATGGAGTCCGGAACTTCCTGTCTGTGCTCGTGAGTCTATGGGTCCCAATTCTGGGTAGTATGACCAGTTGGTTTGTCTTGGAATTCCTAGTTTCAGCATTAAAGTCCTACAATCCAGAAACTGCTCAATTCCAGAAAGCCTTCGGTCCCAGATCAATAAGGTGTTTCATCCCCTTCTTGGAGATGACATCCTATTTTGGAAGATGAAACAACCCACTCAAACCACAGAGTGTTTTACTCATGAACACATTTTATATCCTCTACCTGCTGGAACCCATCCCTGTTGGGTTTAACAACAAGATTTCCTTGGTGTTTAGGCAAGGGCTTCATTATGTTTGTTGTTGATGTATGTAGCAGGAAATTGCCACAATTTGATTAAGAGTATAACTTGACCTCAAGCAACCTGGGCAATGCTCTACCATTGATCTAGCTATCTCCTCACTGGTGGCTAGGAGAACTTACGTAAGCAGTGAGATGAAAATCTTCAACTCTAGCATCTCATTCATTCATTCATATATACATACCATTAATAATCATCCATTGGGAAGCAGCCAGATCCTGCTCCTCCACAGTCTAGAAGGTGTTGAGTATTGGTCTATGGGAGTAAGTCTAGGGATGGAGACAAGGAAAGTGCTCTTCACAGCAAGTTAAGAGGCCACTGCAGGGCTTGGCATCCTAGCTTCTGACAGATTCCTCTAGTGTTTTATTCAGGTTATGTTCAGCCATGTAGTCAGGAGAAGCTGGGGGTCTGCTTCTTCAGGGAGGGCTGTGCTCCTGTTTCCTAACTTGTGATTTATTTAAACCTGACCTTTGACCAGGAAGCCCATGCATCACAGTAGTGGCTGTGGTTTTTAAAAGCTTTCAGGGAAAAGTCAAACAATTTGAAATAAACCTTAACTGAAAAAAAAAAAAAAGCAACTCCATCTCCAGACTTGCCTTTCCCACTTGAGCCATGCTCAAGTCCTTTTGCTTTTCAGTTTATTTCTCAGGTATGATTTCCTACTTTGGTCCAGATTTTCATTAGATCAGTATCCTCCTACCTCTACCTCCCACAGCAGGGATTACAGGAATGCATTACCATGCCTACTCCACCAAAAAGTTTTCTAAAAGTTAATTCACTAATTCACCCAGCAATAAGAATTGTCAGGGGCTGGGAAGGTGGCTCAGTGGTAGAGCGCTTGCCTTGCATACATGAGGCCCTGGGCTCGATTCCTCAGCACCACATAAGCAAAAAGAAAAAAGCCGGAAGTGGTGCTGTGGCTCAAGTGGTAGAGCGCTAGCCTTGAGCTGAAGAGCTGAGGGACAGCGCCCAGGCCCAGAGTTCAGGCCCCACGACCGGACCCAAAAAAAAAAAAAAAAAAGAATTGTCATAGTTCCTTCCCTTTTAAGGAGCTTTGTATCAATTTGGTAAGTTTACCTTTTTAGTTACTAACAAAAAGGATACAATTGCTTCCATCTAATATGAACAAGCATGTTTTACATGTTAGTGTGTACATGAATCACTTGAACATCTTGTTAAACTCTGGATTCTGCTTTATGCATCTGAGGTGGTTCTGATTTTCAGCAAGTCTAACCAGCGCCCAGGCAATGCTCACGCTACTAGTCCATGGATCACATATTGAGAAGTCAAAATGCAGATCATTCAAGTTAAATCACATGTTGGTCAGCACTATCATACATTAGTATGCCTTCCTCTGAAGTTATCAAGATTCCTATGTGTCAGGGCAGAGGGATAAGCCACTACTGTGTATCTATGGGTCCTTGAAGCTCTGTGTGCTCATTTGTTTTAAATTTAATTTAACTTAATTTTTTTTTGGTGTGTGCTAGTCCTGGGATTTGAACTCAGGGCCTAAGCATTGTTCCTGAGCTTTTTTCCCCTTCTTTCTCACAAGTACTGTACGATTTGAACCATACTCCCATTTTCAGCTTTTTGTTTTGTCAGTTGTGGGGCCTAAACTCTGGACCTGGCACTGTCCCTCAGCTCTTCAGCTCAAGGCTAGCACTCTACCACTTGAGCCACAGTGCCAGTTTTGGCTTTTTCTGCTTATGTGGTACTGAGGAATTGAACCAGGGCCTTATGCATGCAAGGCAAGCACTCTACCACTGAATCAACTTCCCAACCCAGCTTTTTTTTTAATTGAAGAATCTCATGGATTTTCCTGTCCAGGCTGACTTTGAACCACAATCCTCAGATCTCAGCCTCCTAAGTAGCTAGGATTACAGTCTTGACCACGGATGCCAGACAAAGCTATGTGTTTAAGCCTCATATACACAGAGTTCAAAAGCAGGAGGTATTTTAGTAGGAACAAATTGAACTAACAATGAAGTCAAATGTCAGGACCATGTCGAGTTGGAAACCCAATATCTACGCTGTTGTAAAAGTTGTAAAAGGCAAATCCACCCTGGCAAGACTTCATTTATTTTATTTTAGGTTTTAATAAGTTGACACATCAGATTTGGGATCACATTTTCCTATTTGGCCTGTATAATTGACTTTTTTAAACCTTGTTGTTGGATCAAAATTCACATTTGTTTCATGATATATTTGGATTTGTTTTCTTTCTGGAAAAGGCATGTATGAAGCCATTATTTGTTTTATAGATATGATAGCTCTTTCCCTTTTTTCCCAGCCATATCCTGTCCTCCACCACCAATACCTAAGTTTGCAACACTTCAGGTTTACAAGCCATCAGCTGGAAACAACTCAATGTACAGGGACACAGTAGTCTTTGAATGTTTGCCACACCATGCCATGCTTGGAAATGATACAATTACTTGCACAGAACATGGAAATTGGACTGAATTACCAGAATGCAGGGGTAAGTGAATGATATGGAACAAAACAATGGTGCTACTCATTTTTGAAAAGTATTGAATAGCTCAACAATTATGGGGTATTTAAAATTACCTCCTTCAATAAGTGATTCATGAGCATAGACACTATGTACGAAGCAATGTGCTTGCCACCGAGGAAACCAGATGAACAAGATATATTTATGATCCTTCTCAAACTTGATCTGTCATTACTATCTTTGAGTTTGTCTACTGCATAACAAGTAGACAAGTTATAGAGTTTATCATGTACTCAGAGTTATTGTAAGGATGGTAGATTTCCAATGGTGATTTTGTTTTTTTGGTGTGTTCGTGCCAACACTGTGGCTTGAAGTTAATGACCTTGTGATTTTACTTAACCTTTTTTCTTCAAACTTAGCTGGCTCTCTACCACTTGAATCATACCCACACATTCAGCTTTTTGCTGGTTAATTGGAAATAGACTTGTGGATTTGTCTATACAGACTGGCTTTAACTATGTTCCTCAGCTCTCTCCCTCCTGATTAGGTAGGATTATAGGTGTGAGCCATTGCTACCCATTTCAATCTATGGAATGATTGATTCAAAACATAAGTGGTTTTGAACATGGGAGAACTCTCAATAACTATGATAACCTGCACCATTGTGGGTCAGGCACTGCTTTCCTGCTGTAGAAGTGTCATCTCATTTAAGTCTCCAAAATCCTAAACCGCAGGTTTTATTTTTCTCCTTGTTATCCTCTCTTCACTTGGGTGTATCAGCTGTTAACATGTGTGACATTGTCTCTCTCCATAGACAGATCTTCTTCTTGTCTATGAGTCATGTGAAAGTAAACTATATGCATCATGACACCCATAAATATAGTCAGCATGGATAGGTTAAGATCAATGATATTCTACAGTATCACTGTACCCAATCCAATTTAACACATTTGAATTATTAATGATAATTTATATCATCCTAATACAATAATCAATAACAATATCATGAAAAATTTAGTTCAGATATAATTTTCCCCAGTGGATTCAGAAAGATAGAAACACACATGTTATTGTATTTTAGGTAAGGTTCAATGAATACACCTTCTATGTAATTATCCTCTTTATTTATGATTACATACTTTTATCTGTCATTGACATTTTGAAGAGTATATGATACTTTTTTGCAATATGTATCGTGAATTTGTTGATTCAAATAAAATATTTTTGTTAAAGAATACATTCTGAGCTGAGCTCTGGTAGCTTATACCTGCAATCCCAGCTACTCAGAAGGCTGAGGTCAGAGGATTTCAGTGTAGCTAGCCCTGGCAGAAAAAGTTTTCATGAGTCCAGCTCCAATTAACCAGCAAAAAGCTGGACTGGAGGTAACTCAGGTAGTAGTGCACCAAGCCTGAACAAACAAGCTTAATGAACTCAAGGCCATAACTTCAAGCCCTAGAACAGATACAAAAAATATATTCTGTCACATCAGTAAGCATATATGCCAGCTGCTCTATTACTGTTCATATTTAGTGTAATCCCTTTACCCACTGAGACGAGCCAGATCATCTTTTGGTAAAGTCATCTCTTTTTTCTTTCATAGTTGCAAGTACCCTGTGAATGATACTTGAGACTGTGCATGTATCCACTCTAGGCAACCATTTGAGAATTCGCTTGACACCACTTAAGGCATTAGTAGTTGCAAAATGGAGACTTTCTCATTCTTTCTTTACTTGCTAGATTACCAGAGAGGAGCTTTCCTTTTATCCACTTGTTTTTCAATATTATTATAGATCCATGAATTCTTTGTCACTCAATGTGTGACAGAACCCAAACTGAGCCAAGCAGTCCAACTCTGGAGTTTGAACTCTTGGCTATCTTCAAACATTTTGTGCTCCTGGATCCAGTCTTGGCTCCAGTCTCACTCCTTTGTAGCTTAGGCTATGAGTGTGGGTTTTTAATGTTAAGGATTTTCAAGGGACCAGGAAGCAGTACCGGTTTTCTTGGACACATTTCATGTTTCTTTTTTGCATAGTCTCAGGAAAATAAGAGTAACTAGGTTTGAATATTTCAAAGATAAATAATGCTAGTAAGTGGTCATGAGAAGGGGTACAGTTGGGGTTTTAACATCATAGTTTGTTGATCAAAAGAAAGACTTTGATCTTCCTTTTTCAAACCCAGCATCTTAGACTGTGGGAACTGATGATAAATAATAACTTTTTTTGTGTGTGCCATTACTGGGGCTTGAGTTCAGGGCCTGGTACTGTCACTTAGCTTTTTCACTCAAGATTGGCACTCTACCACTTGAGTCATACCTCCACTTCTGGCTTTTTTGTGTTTAATTAGAGAGAAGAGTCTCATGGAGTTTCCTGCCCAGTCTGGCTTTAAACTGCAATCTTCAGGTCTCAGTCTTCCAACTGAGCCATGAATGCCTGGTTTGTCATAAACCTCTCTGAAGGATCTGAAAATTATTGTTTCTTTTTTTTAAATATCTAGGGTGTATAAGATGTATAAATGTATAAAAGAATGGGAACCAAATTAAGTACAGACACCCAGAAATAGCATTCAATTCACAGTAACACCGGTGACCCAATGGCTTAATAGAGATAACAATGTAACCTTTTCACAACTTAACTACCAAGTGCTGCTATTTATTACTATTATGTCTCATTGGATCAACTTTTAGAAGTAAAATGCCCATTCCCATCAAGACCAGACAATGGATTTGTGAACTACCCTGCCAAACAAGTCCTTCTTTACAAGGATAAAGCCACATATGGTTGCCACGAAACCTATACCTTGGATGGTCCAGAAGAAGTTGAATGCACAGAGCTAGGAACCTGGTCTGCCCAGCCAAACTGTAAAGGTATGGAAATTGGGGTGAAGTCCTACTAGGTTTCGAAATTTAGAAATCTTGGATGAACATTACTTGCAAGTTTCTTGGATTCATTTTTGACTTGTTGCTCAGACTTGCTTCAGATTTCCTGGCATGTCAAAGGCTCTAGGCCTCACTGGTACATGGGACACCTCCAGATTAGCAAACTTGCTCTACCCTCACCTAGTAGAAGTAACCATCTCCTTCTCAAGCACCGAAGATGTGAAAGTTCATGTGGGCTATCTGTATGTTCTTTCAAATTTCTATCAAAACATCTTTATTTTTTTTTTACCTCTGTCTAGTCTAGGCTCTTGTGACAAAACTCAGCCAAACACTCGAGTAAGTTTGAGGAAATGATGCTTATTATAAAAAAGTAAGATACAAGCGCATATGGAGATGAAGAAATGACATACAATTGGTGCTCCTGAGGATTGCAAGGGAAAGCCGAAACTGCAGCTAGCTTTCCCTCTCTCCATAACTACTTCCATCTTGTTTTTTTTTTTCTGCTTACTTGGATTGAATCGATAACAGGACCTCTCAGCTTAAGATTCACTAGCTGGTCTCTGTTAAAGAATAGCAATCTAGGGCTTTGTCTCTGCTCAGGTTGCTGTAGGCTGACAGTTTAAACAAGAAGAGGAAAGTGGACAGTAGGCAAGATGATAAAAGACCAGGGACTTAGGTTGAAATCCCCTAGAAGCAGAGCATGAAACAGGCATTTAAGTGCAATTGATTTATTAAGAGATCTCAGAAGAAAGATAGACAAGAGGGCTGAGCAAACGTATAGTCCTCAAACCTTGCATCAGAGTCTTCTAGAGGATGTGTTAAAATGGATTACTTGGCTCTACCATCAGAGTTCCTGGTTCATAGATGTAAGATGGGACCTGGGAATTTTCATTTTGATCATGTTCGGTATTTAATGCTGCTGGTTTGGAGATTGCTGGGAGGATTGTGGCTTTACTTTAAATCTAAGAGGAGTTTGGGGGCATCAATCTCCTCCAAGATCAATACTAGCAAGAGGCTAGGAGAACTGTCCCCCTGCTAGCCACTCATTGGCTGGGGGCTCTTCTCGTCCCAATTCTGAGAGCAGGGTTATGGTTGGGTTGGTTTGCATAAACCCCTGGGAGAAGGGGCTCCCACTGTGGCTGAAGGCAAGGTTTTGAGAAAGGACATCTTATGAGCTGTGATCAACCCTCATACATAGCTACTGGCTGATGGATGCACTAGCTCCATAAACAAGATCTAGATGGGGCAGTGTAGGTCTGAATAAAGAAGTTCTTTTTCTCACCGAAGTGAGAATCTGGAGTTTCTGCTCTGACCTTATGTGGCTTTCTGTGAGGGAAGTAAAGGTCTTCTTGAAGCCATGAACGATGGATGTTGTTAGCAATCCTATTGGTACTACTCACTAGGTACATTCCTGGAATCCTCTTGTCTTGACTCACTTGTTTCAAGTGTGCTCCTCTACTGGCTCAAAAATCTATATTTTATTTGATGAAAATTCATTGAACTCTTAAGGCTTGACTACATATGTTTTCTCTTTCAGCATCTTGTATCTTATCTGTGAAAAAAGCCACTGTGCTCTACCTAGGGGAAAGAGTAAAGTTCCAAGAACAATTTAAGAATGGAATGAAGCATGGAGACAAGGTTTCTTTCTTTTGCAAAAATAAGGAAAAGAAATGTAGCTACACAGAGGAGGCCCAGTGCATAGATGGCTTCATTGAAATCCCCAAATGTTTCAAGGGTAAGTCTACACTAGAAAGCTAGTGAAGACTTCTGTCTGTCCTTCATCATAATGAGCGCTTTGTTACATAATGACTGTAAGAAGCAATTACAAGACAGGGAGAAATGATCAACTCAAGTAAAGCAAGGAGTGCTTATAGTCTTTCCACTTGCACACATATTTTCCTGACAATTCAGAGTTGTTGTTTCATTCAGTGGATGTTGAGGTGACTTTATACCATCTTGGATGATTCCAAGCTAAGCTGGAGTAATAATACTGAATTATAAACTACCACCTCTTAATCTCAAGTGAAAAAGCACTCAAAGGGGGTGGCAACTAACTGGTTTTGTAGATCTCTTACTGTTTTTTATTTCTGTCTTTGGCAATGCCTAATTTGAAATTTTTCTGAACTGCAAAGTATTTGTTAGAGCAAACTATCACAAGGGAGATGATACTGTGGATGAGTGGTAGTATATAGAAGCGTGCAGTGGCCAGGCATTTATAAACTAAATGCTAATGTAAGTCTTCGGGGTTAAGGTTTCGTTATCTTCCTTTTACGAAGGAAGAACCATCCAGAGGCAGAAGCTATTGTTGGCTCTAGGTGTACAAATGTTTCAAGAATGCTGTGGGCTCCATACTGATAGCTAGAAGAGGAGAATTGAGAGCAGATGTTGCTAAGAGGAGGAGAGGTCTGAGAAGTTGCCCAGCAGAGAGAGAGATGGAAACTAGAACCACATAGCCATCCTCACCTCGGCACATGGCTGGTTTGAGTATTAGAAATGTTATGTGTGAGATGGAATAATGACTCAGCCAATAACATTATTATACTGTAATTTATGCAGAGTTAGAATTGCATTGAATAAATTGTTCTTGCTCAGAAGAGAGCAGAACCCTGGTGAGCTGTTAAATACTAAAACTGACAAAATGAAATAAGCCTGGTACAAACCAATAGGAAAAAAATATTAGAAGAAGATAATTAAAAAGAAAACAAAATCTAGAGCTCTGTTGATGTATTTCTCCAGGCTTTTCTTCCTTATGGTCTTAAGCTAGATGTAACACTGTGGGTGCACTAGAGGATAAATAAAGGACTGATCACCGTTCTTTCTTTTTTAATCTTGGCTGTCAGAGTTATTATACAAAACCTTGCATTTTTTCTCTCCTGGAAACGAGTATCCTATCATTACTCACATGTTTTCTCCCATCACTTAATCCTCATGCTAGTTTCTTTCATATAATTATATTTATTATGCACATTTGTAAAATGTTTTTGATTTGCAAAGCTATTTAACAAATTTAAGACATGATTGTGTTACTCTTAAAATGTTTATCTCACTGGGTACCCGTGGCTTATGTCCATAATCTAGCCACACAGAAAGCTGAGATTTGGTTCAAAGTTAGCCTGAGCAGGAAAGTCTGTGAGACTCTTACCTTGTTTAATGGACCACCAAGAAGTTGGAAGTTGAGCTGTGGCTCAAGGGGTAGAGAGCTAGCCTGGAGCAAAACAAGCTCAGGGACAGTGTCTAGACCCTGAATTCAAGCCCCAGGACCAGCAAAAATAAAATTAAGCTAAATTAATTGTTTTTTTTTTCTTCTCTATCTCCCCTAACAGAACACAGTTCTCTGGCTTTCTGGAAAACTGATGCATGGGATGTAAAACCATGCATAGATGAATAGATCATCTTCAGACTCAAAATTAAACATCCTATTTCTGTCTCTGTTTGTCCAACGAATCCAATGAAAGTAGAAGAATAAAATTACTGAATTCATTGCCTCTACTGTTTCTGTATTGCTTCTTATGGTGACTTGTTTTTTTTTTTTTAGCTATGTTATCTGGTTTAAAAAAATCCAAATATTTGGAACACTGCTTCATGGTTCTAACATGGAAAGTGCAAACAATTATCTGACTAACCCAGTTCCAACTTCCTAATTTATGCTATAAGTTTGAGAAGCATTCTCATGATGAAATATGTATGGATTTCCAAGGAAGCCCAACTAAATTGGTATCCTTGGTTTCATGTCTACATGATGCTCTCCTGCCCCAAACCTTTCCTTATCTACTGACATTCCAGGATCCATCACTGACCTTGGTCCTTTGCATATGTTCAAAACTCTTCTTTTTCCCTGCAATACCTGCTGGCTACATTCACTTAAGACTTTATCTGCCTCCTTGACCCACCTTACTGTATGAGCCCCTTTCATCTGGAAGGAAACCAGTGGAGTTGAGCATAGATATAGAACTGTGAAATAGTAAAGATATGAGGATTTGTGTTGGCATCTAGGGGTAGGATGTAGTTACAATCGGTCCTTAGTGTCAGTGGGAATATGATTCCAAAGAGAACATCACTAAGAAAAAAAATGTTCAGATGCAGATTCGAATATACTCAATTTTTCCTGTACTATATAAACAATGGATCTTGGCAGCCATAACTTGAAGCCACATTTATAGACTACAGTAGTGTCACAAAAGGATGTTGTACATATTAAACATCTTACAAAAGGATATCTTATTTCATGATCTTTGTCTTGAGTACTGCAGATGCTTGATTATTTTTTCCTACAATGCTGAAGACATGTTCCTTTTCAACAAATCCAAAATTTTACTTTATCATTAATTTAAGTATATTACATGCTCTTTTATGGAGGACCTGGAGAGTTATCCTAACTTTTACCTTGCTTTGAGGGTACTGTTTGCTTTTGGGGAGGCAGATTTTCACAAAGTTAAGGGCAAGGAGAGACACTGCAGATCATATGATGATTTAACCAGGCTTGAGGATAATGCCAGCATGGGCAAAGTTACTGAGACTATCTCAACAAGAAGAATGTAAACAAAAAAAGCTCTGTGTGTGTGTGTGTGTGTGTGTGTGTATGTGTGTATGTGTGTGTGTAGCATGTCCAAGGCTCAGCGTTTAAGCTCCAGTACTGCAAAAAAGAAAAAAAAGCCTCTTTGCTTTTGCTCAAGGTTAGGGCTACCACTTGAGCTACAGCACCACTTCTGGCTTTTGAGCAGTTAATTGGAGATAAGAGTCTCATGGAGACTTCTCTGCCTGGGCTGGCTTTGAACCACGATCTTCAGATCTCAATCTCCTGAATAGCCAGGGTTACAGGTGTGAGCCACCTGCACCTGGCTCATGAACTTTTTTTTGCTTGGGCTAACTTTAGTCCTCATGATCTCAGACTCTTGAATAGCTAGGATCACAGTCATTAGTCACTGTGCCTAGCTAATTTATACTTTTTTTTGTTCTCTAAATAGGAAGTTCTGAGTCATTTCCCATCCAATTTAAGGAATTTACTGGTTATGGAATTCTTCTGATATTTATCTTTAATGTGTTTATATAATCAGTAATAATTCTTGGTATGTATAAATTGTTTCTCATCTAGATAGCTAAAGCATTCAAGTATTTTATTATAATAATAAGAGTGCTTAATAATGTAACATGGTGAATCATTGAATAAAATTATATTATGTAGATTATTGGTTTATGCATAAGTACTGTTATAGAGGAACTGGTATTTTTGAAACAATTAAAAATACAAAAATCTATGCCAGTCAATCTCTTAAATTCTTTAAAAATGGACAAAAGCCAAATAAATTCATGCCAAGCCGTGTGTAGTGCATTAAACTTGTCATTCTAGCCACTTAGGAAGTGGAGATCAGGATTAATCAGATGTGATTTAAGGACAACCTGGGCATAAAAGTTTATTGGACTCCATCTCAACCAATGGCTGGATTCAGTGGCACATTCCTGTTATCCCAACTAGTGAAGAAGCTAGCTGGGGGGAGTGGTGTGTGCCTATCATCCCCAGTGATATGGATTAGCAAAAGTAAAATACTCAGGGTTCAGGCTGACCAAGGAATAAAACAAGACCCTACTGCAAAAATAATCAATCTAAAAAGGGGTGGGAAGTGTGGTTCAAATGCTAGTGTCTGTTTAGTAAGCACAAAACCTTAGAGTTCAAGTATGGGGAGGGGGGAGAAAGAGTGAAAGAAAGAGAGAGAATGGGGAGAGAGATATTTTATTGCAGAAGAAAAATAACTTCCTATGGAGAATGTATTCACTGAGTTTCACATTCCTGCAGTGGCATCTTTGATTTTCAGTGCAAGTGATATGGGTTACGGATCAATCCTTTACTATAAAAATATTCAAATGTCTGGGGCTTGAACTCTGCTTTTTTGCTCAAGGCTAGCACTCTGCCCCTTGAGCCACAGCTCTACTTCTGGCTTTCTTGGTGGATAACTGGAGATAAGAGTCTCATGGACTTTCATGTCCCAACTGGCTTTAAAACATGATCCTCAGATCTCAGCCTCCTGTATAACTAGATTATAGGCAAGAGCCATTAGTGCCCAGCTTCAAATATGTTTTTGAAAATTGAAAATAAAAAGCATTTTGTTTGATTTATTTTTCTCCAAAACATCGAGGAACAGGTGGTATTTACTTTCAGTTAGAAAGAGGGGGGGGAGAAAGAAAAAAATAACACCTTATAAAAAGTAGACATCTTTTTGGAAACTTGAGAATAACTATTACAAATGTATTAACCTTCTATTTTCTTTATGGAAAATCGAAAGGGAGCTTCCAGCTGTGTTCAATGTTAGGTTTGGCTTCACATTGTGTGTACTACAAAGATTCTGCAGAAGGATCCTGTTGTGAATTTAGATGAAAAACAGTGGTAAACTGAATTTGATTTAGAGTAAGCCTTTTTACAATTTAAATTCTATTGCTGCCTGGCATTTAAAAATATGTAGCTTGGCATTTTTAGATATGTAAAGAAGGCCAAAGAACAGGGCAACATCAGCAGTGCGCACACGCAGACTGCTGCCCTGGAGTGGGGAGGTGACTTCCTGGGAAGAGCAACGAAACAAGAGGAAACCCCGCGTTTTCCACTTGATGTCACATTTCCTTACAAAATTAGTAAACATCTTACTTCTGTTAGTGCAAAACAAAACAAAACGAGGGTGCCATTTGTATGATTCACCCTCCATTCACCTGTAAGGTGTAAAATACCAGGGGTAAATTTTCAGTTCTCTTTTGGACTCAGCTGTGATGCCTATCCACTTAGTGGACACACCTTTCTCTGAGCATTCTGCGAGTAAACCCCTTTTCTTTGCACTTTACTCTTCCCGTCTCCCAGGCTTCTAAGGGTTTTCACAAGCGTGTGCGGAAGCCAGAGAACAGCGGCGTCCAGACAACAGCGGTTAACAGAGCAACCTAAACCCACAGAGCGGCAACCTGCTGGATAGACGATTGACGGCTGGGGGGGCGGGGGGGAGGAGGGGAAAGGAGGTGGGAGGCGTCACCACGGCAACGGCGCTGCACGCACGCCGCCGCCGGGAGGCCTGGAGGGTGGGATATACAGAATCGGAAGTCTCCGCCCCCAGCCTGTCAGACTTCAGTAATTCAGAGCGTCGCCACGGCAACAGCGCTAAGCACCTCCTCCCACCTCCGGAGGGGTGGAGCCGAGGGGAGGGGCGGGGAAATGCGAGTCCTGGTAGTCTCCGCCCCTCCGGGCCTGCTGGGCGGAGGCGACCCAGCGGCCCGCAAGGATTTGAAACCGTTTGGCGGCGGCGTCGGCGGCGGCGTTGGCGGCCGGGCGGAAGGCTTGCGTGTGGGGGCGGCAGGTTCTCGTTTTTTCCCCAATACTCCCCTGCCCCCTTTACTCGGACTCCCGGGTTCTCGAGTAGAATTTTGCCGGGGGTGGCGGTCGCCCCGCCCGGGCGGGCTCGTTCGTGGAGGGGCGTCGCCCGCAGGCCGGGGCCGGGGCCTGTGGGGCGCCCGCCTCGGGGAGGGGTGGGGGGGGAAGGAGAGGGGGTCACCCGCAGAGTGAAGTGCAGGCGGGGCACGCAGGGGGGAAGTTCTGAGTAAAGTTTAGCGTGGGGAGGGGGCCAGGTCAGCGTGACTGGACCCGAAATCCGAGCTCGCGGCGTGCGGTTCGGAGCGGAACTCGCCGTCCCGGGCGTCCAGGCCGCGCAGGCCGCCCCTCCACCCGGCCGCCCTGGCCGGGGACGTGACCGGCGCCTTCCACACGGCTGCGGAAGGCCAGGCCAAAGCCGCTTTAACGCCGCTCATGGCGCAGCTGCTGGTGGTGGTTGTTGTAATGATTATTATTATTCATCTTTACTGTGAAAGTCAGATCGAAAAAGGCAAGTGAAATCTGTGACCTCTCGGCAGCGCATCCCCGCGCCGAGGTCCAGCCGGCTTCCGGCGGGACTCTGCATTCCCGGACTTCAAGTCTCAGCCTCAGCCTCCCGTGGCTGTGCAGATGAGACCTGACCGTTTTCTGAGCCAGTACCGGCGCTTGCACTCGGAGCCCTAACTTTTGTCGTCAAGGCTGGTGTGGCGCTGCGTGAGCCCCAGCTCCGCTTCTGACTTCCTAGTGCCTCGTTGGAGAGAACAGTCTCATGGACTTTTCCTTCCCAGGTTGGCTCTGAACCTCGATCATCAGTACTCAGCTTCTTGAATTGCTAGCATTACAGGATTGAACCACGCCTATCCCCGCGGTGGCTGGCACAGTCAGGGAAGGGCTCTGTCTATCAAAACAGCTCAGAGTGTAAGCCAGATAAAACACGCATCTGTAAGACGTTTTTGATTCATTGAGGTTTCAAGTCTACTAACTCACTACATTTAAAGTATGATTTTGGTACAACTTTCAGGAACTTATTATGTTTGGCAAGAGGCAGGATATAGGTGAAATACATTCTTGGCTTAGTAGTTGTGACTCCTTTTACATTTTTTTTAATGTCTTAATGTTTGTGGCTTATGTTTTGCTGACTCCTGAGCCAGTTAAGCACCTTGAGAAGGTCTTAGCCCATTTTGTAGCTGTGGAGAAGGGAAGAGCTTTTAAATGAAGACCATGCCAATAAGTGCAATAAAAAACATGACCTAAACTATAGATTATAGAAACAAGAGCCACCTACTTCTTTTTTTTTTTTTTTGGGTCCGGTCATGGGGCCTGAACTCTGGGCCTGGGCACTGTCCCTCAGCTCTTCAGCTCAAGGCTAGCACTCTACCACTTGAGCCACAGCGCCACTTCCCGCTTTTTTCTTTTTGCTTATGTGGTGCTGAGGAATGGAACCCAGGGCCTCAGGCATGCAAGGCAAGCGCTCTACCACTGAGCCACCTTCCCAGCCCCCCACCTACTTCTTTTTTACTTTTTGAAGTAATTTATATAGCTATCATGCTGTATATCAGTAGTGGACACAGTGTACTTTATTAAGCCTAAGCAAGAGATGCAACTTTATTTTTCAGTGTTAATTTAAATATGCAATTCTGATAAATGATACACAATTTTGGGTAACGATATAATTTGTGTTTACAATATTATTTGTATATTATTGTATATGGAATGAATAGGGATAAGAGGAACAGATTTTTAGCTTTTACTAAATATCACTTGTATATTGTTTTATCTTTAAAAAACTATGTATTCTAGTATTACACATCCTAATAGCACTTCAGATTGCCTTTCTACTTTTCAAAAATACTTTTTTATTAGTCAGGGATATTGCTGACTTATTTGTAAATGACTGAGTGATCTGATATAATGGAGCTGAGAGCTAGGGATTTCAACATTTTAATCTGAGCTTTGTGCTTAATTTTATGGTTTTGGTGAGTCATTTAGCTGTTAAGTTTTAGTTTTCCTCTAACATTAAACACTAACGTTTCCTGCCAGTGTCAAAGGATTTATTGAGAATTAGTGATTATGAAGAATCTTTTTACTTTGACCATAGATAATGATGCTCTTAAGCAAATTTGTGAGTACATGGACAGGGTATGTTGTTAAAGCCTGCAAGTATATTTAGGCCTAAGCTGTGCTTAAAATTCTGGGCGAGTTTCCAATGGTTTATTTATCCATTTGAATAGTTGCCTTTCAACTTTGTGAGTTAACATCTAACAGGGTCATCATAGCCTTCTTTTGCTAAATATATACCTGATAGAATATATTGTAGGAATATAAAGTGAAACCTCTAAATCACACAAAACACCCCCACAATTTAATCAAATTTATTATTTTATTAATTTTTATGGTGCTGAGGATTGAACCCAGGATCTCACATATGCTTGGCAAATGTTCTGTCATTGAGCTCTATTCCCATACCTAAAGACAACTTATTTTACCCACTATTAAATTTGAAGACATAATTCTAATATAATTACATGATGGAGGATAGATAGTTTTGGTAAATGGAATTGGGGCCTATCATACTCCTATTTTGGAAGACCTATTGACTACTAATCAGAACAGAAACATCAAAAAGCAATTATGTGAAAATGGGACATTATACCAGATAGTATGTTAGGTAACTACTAAGATGTGTATATCTTGAGAATCTTCCAGGTGATAAAAGATATGCAAATGATACACAAATACATAAAAATGTAACAGCATGATAAATACTGTTGTGCAGATGTAGTTTACAGTGAAAATAGAGTAGTCATCTGTCTAGGGTAAGCAGGGTCTGCTTCATTCAGAAGTTACCTTGAGCTTCATTTACCTGACCCCAAGCTGAGGGAACAGCTGTGCTAAGGAAACAAACTCAGGTAAGAGCTAGGAATGTTTGAGTACATCCTGACAAGTGAAATGGTCAATGGTGGGTCGGCATGTCTAGGCAAAATATGTATGTGTAGTGAGAAGTAGGCCTAAATACAAAGGCACTTGTATGCCTAACTTTGGGTTTGAATAGTATCTTAGTCTAGGCAATCATGAGAGTCTAAAAGATGATGATGTTAGGCTTACCTGGTTTTTCAAGTAGAGAAAGCATACTTCAGAGAGGTAAGTCATGAGGCTGTTTCCGTAGTGCAAGTCAGTGGTGGCAGTGAGGTGAGAAGCTGGCAGAAGTTGAAGCATTTCTGGGTATTTCTGCATGTACTAGTTTGTGGGAATGTAGAGGATGGGAACCTTGAAACTTCTAGCAAGGGAGATGAAGTAGATGATGTCATCTGCAGAATGCAACGTTGCTAGGTGTGTGGAGAAAATCATGAAGAATTTTCTTTGTGACACATTAAGTCTACTTAAGAAAAGGGCATTACTGAATTATGTCCAGAACATGGTTATAATTATGAGTTGTACAGAGAGCAGAATTAGAAATAAAATTTAAAGCTGAATAGTATGAGGAAAATGAAGTAATTCCAAAGGCGATTGCCCTGGGAGGGCGAGAAAGTCAGATTAAAAGGAGACTAAAGGGAGAACACTGGAGAATCCTGAATTGCTGGGCAGAGAAGCAGGAGTCATTGAGGGACTGAAAGTGGATGATCTGAGTGGCCACAGGGCCATGGAAGTGAGTGGAACTACTGAGGTGCAGTGTGCCTTTCTAGGAGCAGTGAGTTGTAAGAAGGGTAGGATGCTGCAGAGATGTCAGCCTACAAACTGACTGTGGCTATTAGTGGATCATTGGTGAAATTTGAAAGCTTTCAGCATGGTAGAGATAAAGGGGTAATTTGCTGGGCTGAGATCTGATTAGAAGATGAGGGAGTGAAGAAACTAATAGAGTGGTGAATGCAAGACAAGAGTCAAGGCTGACCTAGGAGAGGAAGGAGCCAATAGAGACACTGAATTTGTAAAAGAGTAGAGGTAATTGATGATTGATAGATGATAGGAGGAAGTATTGACCTTAAAAATAGGAAGAGTTGCTGCTGTTTTAGATGTAGGAGCAAAGAAGGCAAGCATATGCTCTCTAAGTTAAGTTGGGATGTCATCAAATCTAAAAGATGTTCATCTATTAGATTTTTTTCCCGTGGAATATGATAGCATTTTAAAAATGGAGAGTGAAGAGTGCTGAATTTGTTTAAAGGACTTTTAAGATATGTTCCATATCACTTGATGGAAGTGGCCTCCATCTTTCTCCAGCAGCTTGGTTAACAAAGTGTGTGTGTGTGTGTGTGTGTGTGTGTGTGTGTGCAAGTGTGTAAGATCAAGGGCTCACTGAATAGAAAGGCAAGATCTAGTGGGGGTGGGGGTGGGGGTGGGGGAGAGAATCTGTCATCAGTTGGAGGTGTTTCTTTGTTATCTGACAGTGATGGAAATAGGGGATATGTGGATAGAGCCTCCTAAGGGGACTTTGGAGTTAAGGATTGAAGAGCACTAGTTGGGAAGAGGCAGCATGGACCTCAGTCTGTTTTCTTTTCTGGGTGAGATTGAGAGGAGGTAATATTGATTCTTTTTTGTTTCTGGGTACTCTATTATTGTCTGACAATTTATCCCCACTTGAGAGAATTTTGTTTGGTGATTATGTGTATATCAAAAATTTCTTTTTTTTAAATTTTATTTTATTTGTGAACATACTGTACAGAGGGGTTACAATTACATGGGCAGGATAATGCATACATTTCTTACCAAGCATTGCAGCCTCTTCCTTTGTTTCCCCTTCACATCCCTTCCCAGCCTCCCCCCTCCCAATCCCAATCCCAATCCTTCCCCCCCCCACACTGACGTTGTAAAGCTCGTTTTGGACATGACAACTTGTACTTCTCATTGTTGCAACAGGTCCACCTGTATCCTTAAACGACTTGTTTTTCCCCATCTCCTCCACAAGTTATACTGACATCAAATATAGTGAAAGCAGGGGTTATACTGTGGGGGAGGGACATACAAAGCAACAAGGAAGTAATCTTATAAATGCGTTAGAAACACATGCATGAAAGAAAAAAACATTAAAATACATATCTAAGGGTTAATTTTCTTAACATCACATTATCTGACCTTTTCCGCTTGACTCATACATATACTAGATATTGCAAATAAGGGAAACCATGGGACCTATGTTTCTTTGGGCCTGGCTTACTTCACTTAATATAATTTTTTCCAAGATTTTCCATTTCCTAACAAATGAGGCAATGTCATTCTTTCTGATGGAGGCATAGAATTCCATTGTGTATATATACCACATAACTACTCCATTTGCATTTTAATGGGAATGTAAATTTTTCATACTTGATATTCCATATCTTAGACTCCTTAGTAGGTAAGATTACTAGCATTAGCCACCAGTGCCAAGCTCCACTCATATTTTCTTAATATAATTTCTTTATGAGGTGTAAAATTTACAAGTATTTTCTCCCAAAGGCTCTGGTTTATTTTCCTCCATCCATTAACAATAAGAAGCTTTTTCTTTTTTGTTTTTTCCTTTTGGAGCATTCCAATACTGTATATCAAGTACTTCTTATAGGAATAATATTTTTAATGATGCAGATAAGAAATCTCTGTCTGAAGCAATTTTTTTCTCCTGTGTTTTCCTCTAAGCGTTTTATAGGCTCACTATTCTTTGGAGTTAATTTTTTTTCTATGCTAATTCTGGGTCTTGAACTCAGGACTGGTGGCTGTACCCAAGCTCTTTTTACTTAAGGCTAGTGCTCTATACCTTGAGCCACAGCTCCACTTCTTGCTGTTTTGTTGCTTAATTGGAAATGGAGTCTTATGGACTTTCCTGTTCAGGCTGACTTTGAACCATGCTCCTCAGATCTCAGCCTCCTGAGTAGCAATGATTACAAATGTGAGCCACAAGCACCTGGTAATTAGGAGCTAATTTTTAAAATTTAGGTTAAAGTAGAGGTTAACTTTTTTCAAATTGGATGTCCAGTTATTACTGCCATTTTACAACTGTCCAGTTGTAAAAAATGCCATTTCTCTATGAACTATACCTTTATTGCAAACAGGTTGATTATGTTTGTGTTGGCCCATTTCTGGTTTATCTGGTCTGGTCTATTTACTGATATATCTCATTGTATTGATTACTTTATCATATATAATTGGGTAATGTGATTCCTCTAACTTTGTTCTTTTTCAAAATCATTTTGGGTACTTTAATTCCTTTACTAAAATTTGCCTGTGTAAATTTGAGATTCAGTTTGTATGTATGTATAAAAAATGTGGCTGGATTTTGATGGAAATGTTGGATTGGAAGTCTAGGTGTTAATTGGGAGATGATTGGCATTTAATTGTATTTATTTAATTTATTTAGTTTTTCTTTCATCAGAGTTTTATTGTTTTCAACACATAGAACATTAATACTTAAATTTTAAATCTTTTACAGGTTGGGTTTTGAAATGGGAAGTGAAGAAGAAAAATGGGAGAGACTGGATGCAGAATTCGATCACTTTGTGGTTGATATGAAGCCCTTTGTTCTAAAATTACCCCATAGGTCAGGTAAGGTGAAACTAGATTCTTAATTTTTTGTTGTATTATCTAATCAAACAGTGACCTGTCAAAATGGTAATAATTCTTACTATATTAAGGTAGGATTGTTTACTTTGAGCTGTTCCAGGGTATATAAAAATTTAATGAATTTAGAAGTGTGGTTTAATGGTAAGGAGTACCTGCCTGCAAGCGTAAGGCCCTGAGCTTATTGCCAGTTCTGCCTTCTTACATCTCTCCCCCACAAGTGATACCATCCTGCTAACTATGAGATCTTATTGTGATACTACCTCTGATATAAACTCATTATATATACAGACCATCTAAGGTTAGATGTGACTTTTTTCCTGCTTGTTTTTCTCCTTCTCTGGGAATATCTTCTTTTTTGAGAGTCTGCTGTTCACTATTATTTGATTCTTTTATCAAAGCAGAAAAGAATCTATTGGTCTTTTATGCTTATTGATTGATACAATAAAATCAAATATGAGTAAATTTTTGTTGGTATATTATCATTAATTTCTGTCCTTTTATATTTTATTTTGGAATTAAAATCTGTCTCAAAATTCAGAATTTTCACATAATTCAAGGCATCAGAGATAAATTGGAAAGAATCGTTGGGAAATTCTTTCCAGTCACAGTAGATGAATGGTTGGCTGTAATGGTAAATCTGACATGGTAGCTATTGAATGCAGGGTGTGGAGTGAGGGCCAAGGAGCTAATTTTTTTAACCTTTTTCTGAGTTCCCTATTTGCCTGAGTTATCTGAACTCTATATTCAAAGTGAGAAATGACTCAACATTAGATATTTATTCCAGGAATCTGCATTGGGAGAAGGGAATTTGACTTATGTATTTACTATTCTGTGTCATGCATTGTTATAGAGCCTTTCCAACACCAGAGTAGTTTGTCATGTAGTTCTTTGAGTATTCTTCCTCTTGCAGGACTATAACTTTTTCTTTTCTACTGTTCTTTAGATGAGTGTTTTATATCCAATGACTCATTCATGAGAGTTTGAATTAATATATATTTCTATACTGTATCCTCTTCTGGTCATCACTAATATTTTTGTCTTAGGTTTTTTTCTTTGATTCTTTTGTCTTAGATCAAAAATTTATATTAAGATTTCCCATTATATTTGTGATTTCAAGTCATATGTTTCTCACATTTTATCTTCTTTTAAAAATAGATTTGATACACATAGAATTTAGTAGTTACACTTTTGGCTTTCCTATATTTTATATATTATGAGTATGTGGGAACTTACATCCCATTCAAGAATTAGAAATTCATACTCACCTCTCCTTATAGCTAAATTCTCCTTTTGACAGTGTTTCTACCCCAACATCTCAAGTAGAGAATTTAATTTTTTCATTAACCAAGTTGTACTTAATCCTGAGAATTAAAATATAGATTTCAGTTTGCTACAGGATGTATAAAAACAAAAAAAAACGTAGTTTGAAAACTACTTAAGTTCAACAGTTTTACGTTTAACATTATTTTTGTATAATGTATACTCATTTATTTAATAAAGTTTATTTTGTGATTGTGTAATTTTCAAAGCAAAAGCTACAAAAGCATTTTTTTGTATAACTGACCTCCAGAGATTTCCCCTCTGCTGTTTTTTTTTGTTTTAATTATTATCTTTAAGTACAAAAGTTTTTTTAGAGGCATGGCTCTTATACCTGTAGTGAGATTTGCAAAGTGGTAAATCTAGCCTTAGTGATTTTTGTAGGTAAGACAATAAATGAATATAAATTTTAAGAACTAAGAGATTAGACTTAGACTTATGATTTGTATTAGATATATAATCCTCAATTGAGTTAGATGATAAAAATTACTATCAGTAGTTTTCATTAGACTTAAAACAGTCCTGTGTCATGGCAAGATAATATAGTTAATGGATTGTTTATTATATGAGGATTAAACTGCTGTTTTTAGGCAGATTTTTTAAAGGATAATTATTTTATGAAATTACAGTAAGTAGTACTCAGTTACTTTTAGAGATGTTAAAAGAAAACTCTAAATAAACCAGTTTTAAGTCCCTGGAAATTATTGGCTTTAATAAACCAAACATTTGGGTTTAATTTTAGAGTACGTATAAAATGCTTGATAAATCAAGAGATTGTATTTTATCTCTTTTAGATTTGCATAGTTAGAATTACAGAGTAGAATTATAGTTAGAATTATAGCTTTTTCAATACATCTTAAAATTATTTTAGAGATGCAAAATTATAGCAAAATCTTACCTCAAATTTATTTGAAAATAATCTGGAGATTTTATATTTTATTATATTATTTATTTATTTTGCTGGTCCTGGGTCTTAACTCTGGGCCTGGGTGCTGTCCCTGAGCTGCTTTTGCTCAAGGCTAATGCTCTACCAATTGAACCACAACCCCACTTCCAGCTTTTTCTGAGTGGTTTATTTGAGATAAGAGTCTCACTGACTTTCCTGCTTGGGCTGGCTTCAAACCAGCCTTAGATTTCAGCCTCATGAGTAGCTAGGATTACAGACATGAACCACCTGCACTCAGCTGAGATTTTATTTTTATACAAATAGTTATTTGCATTTTCCAGATAACAAAGTGAAATTTTAGACTAAGAGTATATGGCCCATGGGGCTAACTTCCATAGGTTCCATAGCTTCTTTTTCTTTCTTTCTTTTTTGTAACTTTATTGGAAAATAACTATGCCTTTCAGTTATATGTGGTCTCTTAATGCTTTCTTCATGTAGTGGCTGGGTAGACTAGCTGTACCAGAGCTTACATGGCCTGCAAACCTAAAATATTTACTTGTGGGCCCTTTGTACAAATTTGCTGATTCCTTTTGTAGACAAAAGTAGGTGCTATTATAGGTCTTAATGATTTAGTGTTTTAGTTTTTGAAAATTGATTTTCTTACTGTTCTCATGTATTTATAGAACGGCAGAGATGTGCTCTATGGATTAGAAAGTTGTGTGAGCCTTCAGGAACAGGTGCAGGAGTCATGGGCAGGAAGAATCGGAACTTGTATGCAAAATTATTATTACATATGCTTAAACGAGGAGTGCTTGAAGGCCCTTTTACACACCGTCCTGAGCCAGGGACACTAAAAACATTACCATCATACATGGTAGGTACCATTAAGCACTTGTGTATTTGTTTCATTTGCTTGTGTTTGTTTCATGGTTTGTGTTGGTACTGTGTTTGTACTAGGTATTGGAGGTTGTTATTAAAAGATATGTATAGATGTGTTTGTGTGATATGTACATGTATGTGAATATATATAACTGCTAACTTCTTTGTAATGTATTATGAGATTTTTTTCCATATTTTATGATTTTACTTGCAAAATTTAATCACATGGCATGTTAACACTAGAGGATAATTCTTGCTGGTTCGAATACTGTTACTCAATTTATGTTAAAGTAGTACTTTTTGCTTATGAGGTCAGGAGTATTTGAGATAGTTACATGACTTCATATTTGGTTAGACATTAGATTTATTATGTAGTCCTCTACTTTCTGTGGTGGATACATTCCAAGACCTGTTTCTTCACTAGATGTCTGAAATTGCAAATAGTTTTGGATCCTTTATACTATGCTGATAACTGATCCAGCTACTAAGGGACTAATAGGTAGGTAGTATGTATAGCATAAACATGCCTAGTGGGATATAGTGGAGTGAATGGTGTGTGACCTTTCATTATACTGACTTAGAATGGGATGCAATTTAAACTTCTTTGTTCCTAGAATTTTCTATTTAATGTTGACCATGGGTAATTAAAACCATAGAAAGTAAAACTGGATAAGAGGGTGGGGTTGCAGTTGCTTATTTAAAAAGAAATTATCAGAAAATTCTAATTTGGAATATAGGGTCATGTGTCACGCCTCCTTGGAGAATAGCCCCTTAAGAATTTTTGTGCAGGATTGGAAGAGTTGTTGGACAGATTTACTCAGTGAAGTTTTCTTCAGAAATATGTCATGCAGACCAGTTAGAGAGAAATAAATAGGCAAAATTCATAGGGAACTACAAAAGACTCTGAATCACAAAAGCAATCCTGGGCAGAAAAAGTAGTGCTGGAAATATAACAATTCCAAACAGAACTATATTATAGATCTATAGTATTGAAAACAGCCATCAAATATTTGAGTGATGTCCTTCTCAGTGACTAGAGTAGAACATTTTATGAAGAACATATTAAGATGCAAGTATTCTGTGTCATATTTTCCCGTTCATGGTCAGTTTCATAGGATCACAGAGAAGGACTTTATTTCACAATAGTAAGAATGAGAAGGCCTTGGAGTCCTGTCTTAGGTATGCTAGCCTGTGTAATTTCTACCTCATCAATGGACTAGTAATTTTAATTTCTTTTTTTTTGTTGTTGTTGTTGGTTGTGGGGCTTAAACTCTGGGCCTGAGCGCTGTCCCTCAGCTCTTCAGCTCAAGGCTAGCGCTCTACCACTTGAGCTACAGCGCCACTTCCAGTTTTCTGGTGGTTTATTAGAGATAAGAATTTCATGGACTTTTCTGGCTTTGAACCGTAATCCTCAGATCTCCGCCTCCTGAGTAGCTAGGATTACAAGCGTGAGCCCCCGGTGCCCGGCTAGTTTTGATTTCTGATTTGTCTTGATTGTGGTTTCTCTGCCCACAGATTTTGTGTATGTATATGCATATGCACATGTGTGCAAAGTAGTAATTGTTACAGAGAGTGAAATATGATTTAAAAACTTTCTATTGACATTTTATAAATCTAATATCATTTATTTGTATAAATATCAGAATTTTTACATAATTTTGCTGCTTATTAGATATCTTATATAAGTAGTACATAACTAAAATGTAAATATGCTATCCATCTTGTTTTAATATTTCATAATTCATATATTTAATCATATATTTTTATATATTTGTATGTTATTGACTTTAAGTTGAGTGTTTAAAAGAGTTTTTATCAAACTTAATGGAAATTTAAAGTGTTTCATCATAGTATATTTTGGAAGAATAATTTTTCTAATTTTAAAATATTTAGTCCATCTATTTTGATGAACCAAATCCAGCACAAGCAAAAGGCTCAAGTCCAGAACAGTTACCTGACTGGGTACTGGGTGAACTGAACACAAGTGAGCGCAGATTAAGTGAATCATGGAATCTTTCTTCTGGAGAAGATAGCACATCAGTGCTGTTGCCAGCAGATGCTCACAGGTATGCCACAGAAATGCGATTCTGAATTCCTTTTTATCATTTAGCCTTTGAAACTGGCTTATACATTAAATTTTTTCTTTTAATTATAAGGACTTGTTCTACTTTATATTTTTTCTAAAGTTGAGGGGTATGAATGGAATAGGTAGAATAACAGTTTCATTTTTTTGCTTATTATATATTCAAGTTATTTTACATTTTTAGCTGCTTTCATAGGTACCTGTTTACTTCACACATACATACTCTACTGCTTAGAAAATTGTACTACAGGGCTGGGAAGGTGGCTCAGTGGTAGAACGCTTGCCTTGCATGCATGAGGCCCTGGGTTCGATTCCTCAGCACCACATAAGCAAAAATAAATATCTTTCTTAAAAAAAAAAGAAAATTGTACTACATAATTTTTAACACTGTGTTTTCATTTATGACAAAAATTAAGAACATTTTCACTGTTCAAAAGATATGACACCCTATATATCTGTGCTGAATCTGATGCTTGAAGATCTCTCCTTTCTACCTCAGTGAACAGTATTTGGTTTCATTTAATGAAATAAAAGTATAAGCCTTAATTCTCTCTTAGTATATAGTATTAAGCTTAAGTAGGATTTTAGTGCAAATAAAATAAACTTCTACGTTTTGAAAATATACAAAAAGTCTATCATGGAAGTATAACTTTTAGATCTTAAGAAAGATATATTTAAATCTAGAATTTTATCATATTTGACAATGTCCATTGACATGCACCATGTTTCATACACCATTCCTCACCATTCTTTAGGTGATTTAGCTTCAGGAGTTTGTTTCTGTTAACAATGTAATCTTTCTGTTAACAATGTAATCTTTCTTATCCACTATAATGTCTTTGGTATATATTCTTTAATTAGTATAGAAGTGCTATTAGTGATTTGGAATGTCTCTATTATTGATACAGTCTGTTTATATTCTTCAGACCTGAGATACTATGGTAGAAAGAACAGATTAACACAAAGCAAGAGATCTAGTACATGCAATTATTTCATTAGGGGAAACAAATTATCATGGAGAGGTAGTAAAGGAGGAAAATGAAATTAAGGACATTTTTTAAGGAGAAAAAAAGAAATGAATTGATGAGTCCATAGGACATGGTATTAAATACTTACATTTATAGAGGATTAAAAAAAGAAGTATATTTGTAGACATTTGTTAGTTGGTAAGTGGAGATGTAAAGAGATTGATTGTATGTTACAGAGGTCAGGGTATGGCAAGTGGTAGAGCGCCTGCTTAGCACAATATGAGGCCCTGAATTCAAATTCTAGTACTGAAAACATAAAAGATTGAATTTTATATACAAAGAAAAATCTTATTTTGGCTACAGATTCCATTCCAAATATATGTTACGAATCCAGCTAAAATTCTGGGTTCTTTTCCAGGTATAACGAACATGAAATTTGTATTATAAAGGTGAACTAAACTTAGGATACTATGTCTTAAAGTTTTGACTAGAGTTTAAAATTGGCAGTATTTCTGAACTGAAGAAATTATGTGGGAAGATTTGTTTGCTTGATTTGCATAGTGTTTTTAGTTATTTTTTATGAAATGTCAGAATTAGCAATTAGGAAATTTTATATCAAAATTCAGTTATTTGGCTCCTCTTTATTTCCTCAGGTTTGCCTCAAAGTATAGTTTACACTTTTTTTTTTCAGTCATGGGGCTTGAACGCTGTCCTTGCGCTCTTCAGCTGAAGGCAAGTGCTTTACTGCTTGAGCCACAGCGCCACTTCCGGTTTTCTAGTGCTTTATTGGAGATAAGAGTCTCGCGGACTTTCCTACCCTGGCTGGCTTTGAACCGAGATCCTCAGATCTCAGCCTCCTGAGTAGCTAGGATTACAGGCGTGAGCCGCCAGCGTCCGGCTAGTCTACACTTTATTTCTTTAGGTAGGGTTAGAAGACAAAGTATTTTTTTCTGTTTTTATATTTGATCAAAAGTGAACAGAAGAATGGCATAAATGGGATTGTTTCAGAAGAGCACATTACGTGTTTGTAGAAGGGGAGAATATCCTTATATTTGGCATCATAATCACATCTTTGTTACCCATTTAACTCCTTCATACATTTTATCCGTTCTTAAGGTCTGAAGGTTCTCTGGAAACCTCATCTCAAAGAACCAGTTACCAAACAAGGAAACAAACAGCCAACAAAACACCCCCCAACACAAAAACACTCCCCCTCTAGAAACCAAAACAAGAGCCTTACCTGACATCTCAGTTCAAGTTAGGTAGCCTTATTCTTCATTCCTGTGGTACTCTGTGTTTCTTTGTTGCATTCACCACAGTCAGATTTGATGACAATCTTTGTGCTAGATTGTAAGTTCATGAGGTAGGAAGGTATTTTCAGCTCTTAGCATTGGTTGGGAACATGTTAGAAACTCCCTTAAGTATTTGTATTTGGTAAATGCATACATGCATGAATGAATGGGTTATGTTGTATACAACCAAATATTTAAACTATTCAGAGACCCTTTATAACTTGCCCATCCTTTAAGACATCTATGTTGTAGCAGAAAGAATGGTACAGAATAATTTTTAATTGAATTTTTAGGAAATGTGGAAGGAAGGATACATTTTAGGAAATACTGGAAAAAGCATGGATATATTTTCTTGTGAGGTCATTCACTCACCATGAGGAAAGTATGATAGTGAGGGAGCTGAAAAGAGTTTTTTTGATCAAATGTCAGTATTATTAAGGCTAATGGTTAATTAGGGCTGCAAAAATAAAGTTCAAGGCATCTGTTTCGTTAAATAATTATATAGTCTATTTTTTTTGGTGGTATTGTAGTTTTAGATCATGGCCTGTGCTAGTTAGGCAAGCATTTTATCTCTCAAGCCATAGTTGACTTTTTTATACTGTATAATTTGTTTAAAAATAAAATCTCTATATATTTCTTAACAGTTATTTGTCATTTTATATACATGAGGTGTTAAGAATAAAAAAGATGCATTTTAGTTAAAGTCAACACCGTCGAATTTAAGGCCAAATACATGATATTTGTATCTGTTAGATATGTTGGTGAATAGGCTATTTATTGATGGTTCTATCTTTACATTTCTTTTTTAAAGTTGCTTCTTTACCCTGAGTGGTCATACTGTGCCAATGAAAAAGTTGATATCTGTTAATGTTGACCTAATACATCTAATCAGTTCTTCAAAAACTTGTTTAAAAAAGTTTAAGAGGCTTATAATATTTGACACATGTATGTTTTTATAGTGAATAATTTATTGTTACTTAGAACTGAAGTTTAATGCTGCCTCATAAATTTTACAACCACTTCAAGTTGTCCTTTGAAAAACCTCTTTAATCTTAAAAGATTTTCCTCCTTAGTGTTTCTTTTTTGATCACTTTATAAAATCCTGCTTTACTTAGACCTTTTTGTATGTGAAATATTTCTAATGGCATTTTAGATTATGCTGTTTGTGCCCTAGCCTTTTTATATTATTAAAGATGCAGAGTTCTTTTGAAGCCTTTTTGTTAGGACTCCCTATTCAGTAGAGATGGCACCTTTCCTTTCTTTTTCTTTTCTTTCATTCTTCCTGTTGGATATGGGCATTAGCATCATTCCATACTCACTAGATGCATTATGAGGTCAAATTCTATCTGTCTTATTATCATGCCTTTTCCCTACCAAATGTGCATTATAAACTAGTAAACTTAGTATTTTACACTGAACATTTTCAACACATAGTAGTCCTATTCTGATTCTCTTTTTTGCTTTCCTTTTTTCCATAGTTCTTGGTTTAAGATCATTATTACCCATGTTTATTTAGGAAGAGCCACTGATCCAAATTACATTGCTATTTTATTATAATTCTGTCATTGCACATTTTTGTCAAATATTGAACTCTTTTCTTGGTAACAAAATACACTAGTTGTATTTGCTTTTGGTGCATGACTTTATGAAATGTTTCTAAAGAGATTATGAGTTTAGATCATACTCATATATATTTAATTAATTTCATTTAGTTCTATAATCATAAGCTTTATCAATATGTATTATCCTTGTGGTTATCCAATGAAATCTAATAAAACTTTGTCTTTATGATAGGCAGATTTTAAGGTGGCCCCCCTGACCCTCATTCTGGTATTCTTTTATCTAATTCCCTCCCCACAAGTATTGGCAGGACAGCTTGTTTTTGCTCAGTAGAATATGACAGTGATAATGACTGTAATTATATCTTGTTGTATAAAACTCCATCTTGCTAGCAGACTTCTGCTAGAGTTTTAGTGTCATTGCCTTTGCTGATTTTGAAGAGGTAGATGTCATGACTCATACAACCATCAGAAACAGAAGGTTGCTGACAGCCAGGCAAGCAGTGAAGTGGATTATTCCCTTGTTGAGTCTCCACCTTAGAGCTCAGCTCTGATCAAATCATGATTATAGACACATGTGATCTCAGCAGAGGACCTAGCTCAGCAGTGCCTTAGACTTCTGATACACAGCAACTGAGAGAAGATGTATGTGTATTGTTCAAAGCTCTTCAGTTAGTAATACTTGGGTGATGATGAATTCAGTACTACTTTTAGAAAATTTTGCAATCATTATGCAAAACATGCTTCTTGTAAAAACACCAACATAGAACTATATAGAATAAAAAAGTCAAAGCTTTTCTTTGTGTTTTCTCTTTCTTACTTTCTTCATGAGAAGTAATAGCCATCAATAACTTGGCACATTTTTACAGTAGACACCCAACACCCATATGAATGTAATTAAAATGATGTTAGCTTATATATACTGTTTTATGACTTGTTTTTTATTTATTCAAATATGTCTAAAAGTTATGTGGACAGCATCCCTTGAAGATAATCTATACTGAGAATATACTCTAACCTATCTCTAATTCTTGCAGTTCTTTATTACTATAAAGAATACTTTAGTTAACGTCCTAGTACATATACCACTCTGTGCCATGTATGAAAATAAACGTGGGATTTGTTTTAATCAGATACAAAAAGATGACATACATAGAAACATCT